GTGGTGTTTAACGTGTGCTTATATGTTCCTAATTTATTAATTTTGTGATTTCATAATATTCTAGCAATATATTTTACAAATAATTAATTCCAGGAATTCAATAAAGGATATTTTGTATGTGAACGATATAATTATTTTTTAGAAATTAGTTCTGTTACATACGTCACCATCGATTGCTTGTCACTCTGTATGAAGTACATATTAGGGAAAATTAACTAAATATGATTATTATTACTTTATGGTTTATATGAGGATCATTTTTACCTGGATAATTAATTAATTAAGGGAAAAAAATTCCTACTTCAACGCCCTCTATCTCCGAAACGATGCGATTTAGGAAATAAGTTTATACCATGAATGAACATTATTCTAACCTGGAGTACGATTCTTGACGGTGAAAGAATAGAATGCTCCCTGCGGAACGTTCCCTTATTTCGCTCTACTACTGTTCTATCACAAAATTCATACTGTATTCTTGACACAAAGGAATTGAGCTATGAAAAGTAAAGAACAAAGAACAATGTTGTCAAATGTACCGACCAATCAGAAAGCAGTAAATAGGCGGTAGAACTAGTGATGAACTAGTCATGAAATAAGTGTTACTTTGTTTAAAGTTATTGTTATTTGTTTGGCAGTGTCAGGTGCAGTCTAAAAAGGAAAGAAAATGGAAATTAATAAAAAACCGAAACTAAATCCAGTAAGTTCTAAACAAAAATAACTTCTAGTAGAATATTTTGAGGGTAAAAAACAAATGTACACTGGAAAGTTAATACCCACTAGAGAGAAAATGAGGGCAGATCCATTTTATTCTATTATTATTTTATCCGTACACAATCCTTCAAATAAACACAAATTATACGAAAGTTTCCTCATAGTTCTCGAAGGATATAACCACAAAACAATAACTAGAGATATCACATATTACGGAATTCGTCATTTGTGAAACATGTCAAAAAATATAGGGTTAGGTTTAATGATCCTTGCCTGTTCCCCCGAAAATGTCAGTAGAAGAAATAGGGAACAATTCTTCTATTATTACTCAATAGAACACCATCCAAGAATACCGATTAATGAGATTTAGTAGAGACACGCCTCCTTTCTCTCATTGCTTCTATTCCCTATAATTCAAGAAAAAAGTCCCTGTTCTATCGATTCCTGAAGTTATCCAAATTAAACCTGAATCACCCTGTATATTTTAAACGTCAGTTATTCAAATTCAAAATAAAAAAAATAAAATGCTGTGACATTAGGTTTCCACTGATGATATATAGGTATTTGGAAATATTTGAGCAGCCAACTGTATCCCTTATCTAGTAATTTGTAGTTTGATGCACACTCAAGTTATTTACTTATTTCTACATATTTCTGAATATTAAATCTGAGAATGAGATGAGGGCACCCTAAGTTGAGAGAAGCATAAGTTTGATGTGAGTGAAAGATTAGTATAAATTTAGGGAAGTCTCAGAATTTGGCCCTTAGAAATAAGATTTGGTAATCAAACTCTTACAGCTGATTTACCAAGCACAGCTAAAAAGTAGGACCCAAAGGGTTAACAACACTATAAACCCGATGTAACCCATTTGCGTCACCTGGTGTAGCTAGCAAATCTATCACTTTATCAATAATACAAGAATCTAATATCGTAAATGATAAGACCAATAAAAACATTATATAAATATGATAATTCTAGGAGTATAAATAATTTTGTAGTTAAAATTCCTTTGCAATTCTCTGACTGTATATATACACCCAGTACGAGACCTTTATTCATGGGAAATGAACAGAACATGATAGCTGCGGGCTGTTAATGTAGAACGCTCCTTAAACACGTTTTAAATGAAAATGTTATTTTCTATAAACTTACATTGAATGCCAGATTCAGATTACCGTTAATATAATTGTATTAGGTCAGTTCGGTCAGTCTGTGCTTAGATGAGTATCTTGTGATGGTCCAAACATTTGAATCTCCACAATAAAAGGCCTTTGAATGTCAAATAAGATACACATTTTTTATGTTTCGACCAATTAATGTAAGTTAGTTGTTTTTTTTATATTTCAATTAAGGAAGTAACAAAGTACATTAAAATTTTACTGAACACGTTACTTTGCATCAAATATACATATTTTTTAAATATGTAAATATAGGTATAAGTCGTGACTATCATATAATATATATTGATGTACTAAATTTATCATTCTGCATTTACTTAAGAAATCAAATTATTGGGGAACCTAAATCTATTTTATATTTATATAGTACTTATTTTAAAATGAAAATAAAATTTTCATCAGTTATACAGGGTCTTCTAGCATTCCATGCTTATAAGGCGACTACCACAGGTTCTTCGGACAAATAAGATGATTTAACTAACTTATCATTATCCAAAGTTCCTTTATCTGTATAACATAATGAAATTTTGAATGCTAATACCTTTGCAGAGATGATAAACGAGGTATTTATTTTTACAGAAATGGGTACTTGTTCCACTGCTAAATACACCTATTCATTATATTTTTATGGTTCATATCTTATCAAAGAGAATAAGTTTATTTTAACTTTTATTTTTTGTGTCAATCGATTTTTGAGTAATTAATTATTTTCTTAATCATGGCCACCACATTTTGGATATAAAATAATTGATTTATTATAAACAAGTTTATTTATTTGATAATAAAAACGAAATAATGTTTTGCGGAATTCAAAAATATGTCATCCTTTTTTTTCATGAAGCATGATTGTGTTACCATTTTTAATCATTTTCATGACAGATTTTTCGAAAATAAAGTGTGTGAGCTGCACAAAGCATTATTTTGTTTTTATTGTTTTTTCTGCGTTGACTATAACTAATAAAATATTAATTATACGAAAACCGTTAGAAATAAAATTAAAGAGAGAAAAAGAATTGAGAAATGAATTGTGTTTATAACAAAATAAGAACTGAAGTTATAAATTCACCTGCAACGAAATAAGAGTATACTTTCTTATACATAAATATAAGTATATTAAATTCCTCATTTAAATTAGATTTACGTAAAGAAAATTTAAATATTTTGCTAGCATTGATGCTCTCAAGCGGTTAATAGAACAATTTTAGATAAAGGTAAATTTAGATAAATCGTCTTATTTTGACCCCAAAAATCTGAAGAATCTACAAAATATCTACAGCGAACTCCAAAATTTATTGGATAATATTGCCCCTCACCATAGGGTAAATGATTTATGGTTCCAACAGGTTGGAGCGCCCCCTACAGTACATGTGCAAGAATACTTAAATCAGAGGTTGCCGCGAAGGTGGTGACGTACTAACGGAATTATAAGGTGGCCGTTTCGTTCACCAGATTTGACTCCATTGTATTTTTTCCTATGAGTCGTTTAAAAAACACTATATCAAAACCCTATAGAAGACATGGCCGATTTGTATAAAAAATTTATGCAGCTACGGCGGCTTTAGATCGTGACATTTTATTAGAGCCTAACGAGAAAACTAACATCGTGTAGTAATGATGAAGGACGTAATTTTGAACATTTATTATAATCTTTGTTTTAACTTACTTCAGTAACTACATCTACATCTCCATACTCCATACCTATACCCTTTCTGTAGTTGATGTTTTGGCTATACCCTATAAAACTATGGAAAATCAACCACCCTGTACAATGAATCCTTTATACAGGGCCTTCATAAATGTTTACAAGCTACGTGACCGCCGCCGCCGAGCTTAGACAACCCAACCATTGATTCTGGTAACGAAAATTTTAGCGTCATCAATATGATTCATGTCCAATGAACAATGACAAACCGTTACTTCTACGCTGGAAATAATACTATCGCTGATTGGTTGAATAGAATCTCGTAAAAAAATACACCAATCACAGCCGATGAAACAGCATATTGTGTTTTAATGTAATTTTGATCTTATTGTTTTAATTTTACCGAATTTTATTTGCCAGCGTGAAGGAAATACAATTACTGTCCCAAACAAAATTACTGGTCAATTATTTATGAATTCTCTGTAGATCCCCACAAATAAAAACTTAGAGGATTAAGGTCGGATGATCTAGGTGATCATTTAATAGGACCACCACAACTTGGAATATAAGTTTTACTATTAAGAAGTTCTTCATAATTCCTTAGAACTGTAACTTCAAAAAAATATACCTAGGTATAGATTGACCTACTATTTTTATCTTTTAATCTTGTAATTAAATTTTTAATATAATTTTTGTAAGAGGTAATACAACAACTGAATTACTGTTTTTGTGGAATTTATTCGAAATATGCGATCGTCGTTCTCGTTTTTTTACACTTTCTGAAAATAACGAGATTCAATTTAGGATTATCTTGTGTAAATAATACGTTTTTAACTGAAATTTATTAAGAAAAAATTGAAATGGTCCTTGTTTTCTAATGTAAATTGACCGTTGTTAAAATACACCTGAAAAAGGAGTAAATTTAGAAATCATTAAAAAAAAAGTTAATATTCTCACGAAATATATTCCATGAGAAAAATGCAATTTTAATTTTTAAAATACATCACTTGAATTAACGAATATATATTTTAATAAGGTTTAATACGCTTATATGTTAATTAATAAGGTAAAAGGAAATTTCATAACTAAATAATATGTATCGTTTATAACAGTGTATGAATAGTATAAATCAACATAATTCGCCGTAATTGATATGGAAATTTTTATTGCATAAACAATTTATAAGCAATAACATACTTTTAAATGTTTGTTTTAAATTGTTACAACCCTTCAGATAATAAGAAATATGCTTTTGTTAAATAAATCTTACCATCTAATCCTTGACATCTACAGCAAACCCAACCTTAAACAGTTCAGTAAAAGTAAAGATACTGACATTTATTATTAACGTACTTGTTTAATATAAATATCTTTTTTATAGAGAGTTAATAAAAATCCTTGAAGATGGTCAGATATATTTTTTAATCATCCTCTTCGTACCTCTGTCGATGTTGCAATATTACCACCTCACATAAAGCTTTAATGAACTGAAGACAGTATAAATATCGCCACAGAGAATGTCAAAGTCACATCGTCTCCACTATTCCGTGATTTAACATCATGAAATTTGCAGTAAGTAGTATATAATTATATGTTTGAAACACATGTATATAATTACTGTTAAAATATTTAATTCATTGTTTCATTTATTAATTAATTATAAAAGATCAAATTATTATGAATCATTTTTAAGTTTTTATTTTTTATTAAAATATATTAAGAGTGAATTTCATAATCACACTAATGTTGACTTTAAAATAGAATTTGGTAATTACCGTAGTATCTTATTATTGTGATAATGCTTTAAATCTCCGTTAAAAGTGGATTTTGAAAAGTAAAGCTACAGAAAAGTAAATTTATTATAAATATATTAGACTACGAAGTACATTTTTATTTTATTTTCTCTGTAATATATTTTCTCAATGAGTTTATAAATTTTAAAACCTTAAAATGACTACAAATTATCTAAATGTGCAGGTTGTTCTTTTTGGCGTTTTGGCCGCTGCCTCCGCTGCCCAACTTAGCGGCAACGAACCCATCCCCATCGTCAGGCAAGATGCTGAAGTTAATTTTGACGGGTCCTACAGATCGTCTTACGAAACGGGAAACGGAATTTCTGCCAACGAACAAGGCACGTTAAAAAATGCTGGCAACAAAGATGCTGAAGCTGAAGAGGTTCAAGGAAATTTCCAGTATACCGCACCAGACGGAACCGTTATTCAGCTGTCTTATCTTGCCAACGAAGAGGGTTTCCAACCACAAGGTGCCCATCTACCAGTTGCTCCAGTAGACGATAATACTCCTCCTCCAATCCCAGTTGCCATCCTCCGGTCCCTGGAATACAACGCAGCCCATCCTGAGCAAAACGAACCAGCAAAAAGGTTGTAAATTCTAGTCCCCGGATTGCACTTCTCCACTGCCAAATATATACATTCTTATAAAATGTGCTGTATATATTCAATGACTTGTGCCATGTACAAATGTTTACCTTTAAATAAATTATTTTAACTTTAATGGTGCGAAATTTGAATCCAGTCATGTTGATAATAATTAGTTATATCAGTTACTTACGTGTTTGCTTTTAACTGACAATGAATTAAGAAGAATTTTTCCTATATGGTTCTATCCTTGATTAAAGATTTATATTTGTGTTACTTTCATAAATCCTGTACAGAAATTTGTTGATTTCTAAATTTCTGAAAATCACTCCAACAATTCTAATTTGTTTGAATTCCTTTAATATTTAATTTTATATTCTTTACAAATTTAATTGAATTCTCGAGAAAATTTCATACTAACAGAAAATAGTTTTAATTTAAAATGAATGTATTGTTGAAATATTTTATTCCACGTATACAGAGTGTAACAGCGAAGTTGTGACAAATTTCAGGACCACCAAATCTAAAAAATAAAAGGAAAGCAACGACTTTCCCTGAAAGATATTTATTTATGGCATAGTTTTTATTTGTCTTTATTTTTTTGAGTATTTTGCCACCTGTGTATTAAAAAATTGGTGAAATAAACCCTTACACCAAAAGGATCAGTCAAGGGTTATTTTTATGAAATAGTTTTGCCAAACCAAAAAATCTCACACTGAAATAAAGCACGACAAATACAAAATACAAAAACACATCACATTGTATGTATATTCGTCTTCTGAACTTTTTTGTACATTTCGTTTAACTTACTTTTTTTCTCTGGCTCTACGATCTAAACGAGAGAAGAGGTCTATAGAACGTCAAGTGTGAAATAAAATGATTTAATGTCGTTGTATATCAAGATAAAGAATCCGAAAAATATCATAAAAATGGGTACAAGTTATTTATACGAGAGATGAATTAAATTTAGATGAATACCTGAGCAAAAGAATTGATTTTTATCTACGATTCGTTGCTGATTTGTAAATAACTTTTTTAACAATTGAATAACCCATCGAAGCCCTCTACATCATTAAATTATACAGGGTGATTCACAACTTATCCGAAAAAATTTGGGAATAGATGCAGCAAAAAATTTTTTACCCTTGACATTAATTTGAAAAAGTGCGAAAAAATTACTTTTTACGGTTTTTTATAAAATCTGCCGCAAATTTACAAATATCGATGAAAAGACTAAACTTGACAGAAATTTTTATAGCTTAATGTACCCACTATAACCCTGTAAATTGAAAAATCAATCCATCCAACCGTTTTTCTGTTTGACATACTTAATCAAAGTTTTGGGAAGAATTAAAGGCAACTCGTTTTTATTTCTCCTAAACATTATGTAATGATTATCAAAATTAAAAAAAATTCTCGTTTTTTTCCACAAGTTTACATTAAATATCGTTTAAATTTAAGAAAAATTATTCCAAAATTTTTTGTATTTTTTTTTCTTTTTGCTGGACACAATTTCTTATCATTTCTGACAAAAATTAAAGTTTACAAAACTTTTGATTAAATTTTTTTACCAAAAAAAAAAAAATAGGTACCTAGTTAAAAATAAGAGAAAATCAATGTGAATCGAGGACAAAATTCAGCTTGGGGTAACAAATTTGCATTTAATGTAATGAAATAAAAATTAGTATAATTATGGTGTGCAAATGCCGAATTGTGATAAAAACGACGAAAATGATTTCTCAAATTTCCAGAAACTTCTAAAAAAAAAAAAAATTTATTTTAGGATTTTTTTCTTAAATTTAAACGATGTCTATCTAAAATTGTTTCTTTAATTCTTTCCAAAATTTTGAGGGTTTGAAACAGAAAAACGGTTGGATATATCAACTTGTCAATTTACAGGGCCATTGAGAGCACATACACTGAGCTGTAAAAATTTCTCTCAACACTAGTCTTTTCATCAATATTTGTAAATGAGCAGTAGATTTTCGAAAAAAAACGTAAAAAGTAATTTTATGCAGTTTTTTTAAGGATCAAAAAAAATTTTCGAATTTCGAAATCCATGATAGGTCCTTCTAGAGAATTTATTCAAGTTTTCAGAACTGCTCTGGCAATAATTTGCTGTTATATCGACGATTAAAGATAAAATTGTATTTTTTCATTCAACTAACAATGTCTCGGTAACCAATAGTCGTACTTTTCAAAAAGCAAATTGAAGCTGATTAAAAAAACTAACTGACCTCTACATTGATTGGGAATGTAGACAGTTAAGAAAAAATGAATTTTTTTTGATTCCTCCATAATCACAGCTCAAACATTTTTTGTCAAAACAACTTGAAACTAGAGACTTCAAGTTTCAAAACGGTTTTTTTTTATCTTGCCACGACCAACAGTGATGTACTTATTATTGCAGTCAACAGTGCTAAGGGCTAGTCCAATAAGAACACTCTGTGATGTCAAACTTTCGGAAATGTTTATTTCCTTTCTCAAGACGTCTATAAAATATAATTAATATATGCATTAGAATAATAAGTTATAAAAGCTATTGTAGGTATTACAAAAACGAGAAATATAAAAGCATTGTTAAAATTTTCATACATTCACTAACTTTAAAAAACTATTATAGCTATAGTGACAGTATTAAAACAATTTACACATTTAACGAAATAAAATAAATATCGATGTCTATTGAGACGTTCCTCAAAAACTTATGGACCTATTACCCTTTTTCGTGTACAAACAAATAAGATTCGTAGTCTCAGAAAGTGTGTGGAGATGGTATGGGCAAATATTGAAAATGTATTTAGATAGTTTTAGTTCTTTTAAATAATTTTTTTAACTTTAACTTATCGAAGGTACACCCCCACAAATGGGGCCACAAAAATTAGTATTATTTTTTAATATTTCCAATGCAGGTTAAAGGAAACTTATGAATTTTGGCACGATGAACGTGCATTAAAAGTCGAAATAAATCATCATACAATTTTTCAACAATTTTAGTCAGTGGCGTCTCAATTGGGGGGGGGGGTCGTCGACAAAAATTTGCCCCTATTCTTTTGCTTGTAGAAAATTTCAAATTCACATGCCAACATATGATAGACTTTCACTACCTCTACAAAAAAGGTACTCTTTATTTCTTTCGATAAAATGCTCCATTTCCGAGAAAAACGGAATTAAGCATTTCATACATTACCTTAATAAAATTAAAATAAAATTCTTGAATACCTAATATGGGTACATGTACCATTATGAATTTTGATATCATATCATTATGCATTGTAATGAACAACGTGAAAAGTGCTTAGAAAAGGTTGTTGTGGACGTCCCAAGTAGGAGGGGGCTCGGGTAAAACAAAAACCAAATTTAAAACTAAATGTTTTCGACAACGCCTGAGTAATTTTTCTAATATCATTTGAAATTGACATTTAATGTCTTACGTTTCTTTATAAATTATACAATAGAATTAGATAAGAACATAATACATTTTTTTTAAATGCAAATTATATTAATCATTATTTAGCACCTCATTCGAAATTAAGAGAATTAGCAATATTTTATTATGTAACAATAAAATTATTTACCTACTATTTTTTTCCATAGTACTTCTATCAATGATGTAAGACTTATCTAACTAACATACAATTTTAACTGAGTATGCAAACATGAAATTCAACAATATAAGCGGTATATTAGGCATTCTCCAGAAAAAAAACCTCTACGAAGTTATATGGCCATAATTATATAAACCAAACTATTTTTGAAGGTAAATTGCAAGTTATTTCAAAAAATTTTAAGAAGCTGATTCATTTAGTTTTTTTATTGGTGTATATGTTTTACTTTGTGGTACTAAAATTAAATCTTAAACACTTTTTAAGAACTTTTGCGATTTAATAATCTTTCTTTTCAGTTTTTCCACTAAACCGAAGTCCTAATTTATTTAATTTAGTTCAATCTAGATCTGCTCTTTAGATAAAACATTTTATATAATACTAACGTAAAAGTTTTTACATATAAAATACAGAATGGTCCAACTCTATTTGTGTTTAGACGAAAATTACCATTTCTAGTTATATTATTTAATACCTACTTGCACAATGCAGCTTCGATTCTTCAAACAGAAGTCACATTTACCTTTAGAATTTTTAATGGCAAAGGGTGTATCTTTTGTTTCTAATCAATGAATCGCTTATGTACAGTGTGTCCCATTTTTCGGGTTAATACCTCTGGAAATGTGAGAAGGCTGTGGACTTTCCGCAAGCCAATTTTTTTACAAATAGTACCCTGAAGGGAGGTTATATTCTATTAATAATTTTATTGATGTGACCAAAGCCTGGCGTACTACGATTTTTTATAAAGGCTGTTTTTCCAGAAAGTGGTACTAGACATATTTTATCAAAAAGATAATATTCCCATGTTATTCAACACCCATCAAAATACCCATATGTATACCAAATTTGAGGTGAGGTGTTTACCTGAAAAAACGGGACACACTGTATAAAACAATAGTATTAGTTTAAAATATTGCTGACTAAGGGTAAGTCCATACCATATATTATATTGTGATATTTCTACAGAAATTACACTTTATTGGTGAACAAAATAAGATTTTTCTAAATTTCCAGATTACTAGATTTTGCTGAATTAAATTACCGACATTTTGTTTCACAACAAGAATGTCTGAATATTTTGTCTCTTACAAGAGTCGTCTTACCTATCTGAAGACACGCTCCGTATTGTTTTGCTCTAAATATTTAATAATAATTTTTTAGAACTTATTTACTTTTTTGCTATTTTTTTGACACACGATTATACTTACCTTCTTATGTGGATATGACTATTGGTAATTATTAAAATTTTTTGTCAAATTCGACAGAAAGTTGCAAATACAAATGGCAAATGTATGTATTACTTAAAGAACTGAATACTAAATGGTATTCCAAAAAATTTCATGTTTAATATGAGAAAATGATTTTATTAATTAAAATTTTTTACATGTACACATAGGTACACATAGCCCTTAAATATGAAAAAGGATTTTTTTGATAACTCTTCGAATTTAATTTAGAAATAGTATTCATTTAAGCAGAATAAACTTTGGAAGAATCCCCACAGGAAAAAGTCACATGGCGTAAGGATCTC